GGACCCCTGGCTCCCTCGGTGTTGGGTCCCTTTCTTTTCCCACTTTCTGTCTTCGAAATGTAACTGTCGTCTTGTTAATGCAGGGAGATCTTTGAAGAATCTGTTGGTTTTGCCATCACCATCAAACCTGTTCCTGATTTGGGAATACTTTTATTCTTTCCCCCCCTCTGTTTTTTAATGTAATATTGGAAGACGTGTGAGTAGGTGGAACACAGGGAAACACAGCCTCTTAGTCAATGTTTAAACAAGGAATTGAATTAACTTTTATTAAATAACCTAAAACGAATGGTAAACAGGTTCCCATAATCTTATAATGTATCTTTGGGTAGTTAGTCTTGCTTCTGCTTGCAGAAAATAGCTCTTCTAACCCCGTTACTCAGACAGACGGAGGTTCTCTTCTTGGCCTAGGACTCTGAGCTTTTCTCAGGCCCATCTTCTCACTCCCACCCCCCAGAATTCCCCTCTCTCCATCCCCCCCTCCTTCTGAAATTTAAACCAGAAGGAGGTGCCCTGCGTGACCATGCTCTGAGTGACAGTTCTAATACCCAATCATCACATCCTTCCCAAGGATTCTCCAGGTAAGTTTTGGAAAGGATGAGGCTAGAACAAGTTTCCTCTGTTTGGCTTGAGGTCTTGCTTGATATTGACGGAAAGCACGAATGGAGAGATTGCATCGACATTCCTGGAGTCCATTTACCGCGCGGATATTTCTTCGGAATCTCTTCCGTCACGGGAGACTTGTCAGGTATTGCTCATAAGCCCAGCATAGCCGGAAGAGCTTTTTCCTACTATTTTTCCTCCTGGAGAAGATCCTGTGGAGCTTAAAAACTTGGGACAAGAGAAGGGAACCTGCAGGCAGCTTCATCAACATAATGTCCTCCAGATGTGTTGGACTTTAGCTCCCATGCTTCTGGGGACTCATGGGAGTTGGAATCCAGGACATCTGGACTAGGCTATTTTGAAATTCAGTGCTTCTGGAAGATATCAGGTTGGGAAGGGTGCTATGAAAAATACCACCAATTCATTCTCTTTTTCTAGCTGGATTCGCACATTGTGCTAAATTTTAAGAGATCATATGGCTGGCTTCACAACAACCTGCTAAACCAAGGCCAGTGGTTTTAAGAGCCAGTGCGACCTGGTGGTTAAGGAGCTGAACTAGGAGTGGGTTCAAGACACAGTTTCAAGTCCAGCCTCAGCCACAGACACTCTCTGGAGGAGTGGGGGCTAGTCATTTACTCTCAGTCCAACCTATCTCACAGGGTTACTGTTGAGGGGGACCAAAGAGGAAGGAGCATTATATATGCTGCCTTGAGCTGAATGTTAGTTGAGCAGTATAAATCGAATTTAAAAAACGAACAAAACATCTTTACAGTTTAGCACTAGGGATCAATTCAACTGGCGTTGATGTAGGAATGGTTGGTGTTTCTGGGTATCTCATTTCCTTTTAAAGTGTTTTAATTTAAGCACCCCCTCAATTATTTTGGGGAGGGGGGCTGGTGGGCCCGTTTGGAGTATTGGGAACCCATGGGGAGCTCTTACAAAGTGAACTGTGTAAGGATGCAACGAGCCCCCAACTTTCAGTTCTCCCCTCCAGGTTCTCCTGCGGGACATTCCCTACAGCTTCTGTTGATCTTTGTCTTTGGGCTGTGCTTCTGACTTGGCTGCAGCTCTTGAGCATTTTTGGTTCCCCGACTTGGCCTATGGGGCCCAGGGAATTCTGGGGAATAAAGATAATGCCAGAGGCCATGACTTGTCTTTGTGGTATGGCAGGTTTGTTTTAAAACAAAGGACTTCTGATACAGAAGGTCAGGTGGGCAGGGAGCCTGGGGTCCTCATGGAAACCCAAGTTGGATTGACTGTGTTCTTGAAAATTTGCCAGCAGTGCTTCTGGCTAACTCCTGATTACTGATGGGCAACACTCCTGTCCCACTAGAAGTGCTTGGTGATGCCTTTTGTCTCTTCATTGTACCCCACGGCTTTTCCTTGAAAGTCCTGGGGGCCTTAACTCACAGCTGGCTTCAGGAGGGTTGCAGGGCGTGGTCAAAAAAGTCGAGATGGCCTCCACAACTGTGTGATTGAAACGGCGTGTTTTTTATGTGCATTGTGACTTCTGTTGCACGTTCATAGATACCATCTTGACTTTTTTGACCACGCCCTGGCTGGTTTCCTTCTGGAGGAAAGTACGGTGGATGCATTGGGTCACCCAGTGTTGCGGAATGGAGCAAAGCGGTTGCAAGTAAGGGAACAGAAAGCATTGGAAGCATAATTCAAAAAGTAACTTTTTTTCAGACCGAGGGCTGTATTCCAAAAGGTGGGCTGGATGAGATCAAAGAAGTGGGTGGGGCCAGAAGAAAAACTGGTTTAAAATGAATTATTGATTGCCACATGGTTGTTAATATAATTTTGCCAATGTGGGAAAGTTTGGTGGCACGCAAAAATTACAGTTCAGTGGGAACTTCTGCAAGGTTTCTGAGGCTTGTGTTTGTTCCTTGTCTCCTCCAGCCTCACCAGGAAATATTTTCCTTTAGGAAATCACGTTCTGCAGGACTATTCCTCTCCTGTGGCTTAGGGTTACATTTACACACCGCTCTTAATCTGGTTATTGAATTAACTCATTTTCTGGGTTTGCTCAGTACATTAGGCATATGCTTCCTTTAGGATGGTCTGGGGTCATACAACATGCTTATCCACAAAAAGAACCCCTAACCAGGTTAATCCTGACCAAGCTGAGCAGATGCAAATGTACCAGTAGAAGAGAATATGGATAGCTCAGAGTTGAACTGTGGAGTCCTCGGGGTTCTCTGAGCTTGGTTATTTACTTGCAGACATTTCGTTACCTGACTAGGTAACATCGTCAGTGCTAGACGATACCTAGTTGGGTAACGAAATGTTTGCAAGGAAACAACCAAGCTCAGAGAACCCCAAGGATTCCACAGACGCACTGAGCTGATTAAGTGTATTGTATGAACACAGCCTAAAATTTATTTTTAGAAATTCTAATCTAAAGTCTAGACTAAAACTGGAGTTGGTCCAGTTTAGTCTAGACTAAAGTTGAGTCTAAAACTGGAGCAAAATTCAGTATCAGATGAGATTAGCAACAGGAGGAGTCCTGAGATGGTTCAGCCAGCTAATTGGGAAAGAGATTTGGTGACTGGCTCTAGGTGGAACCCCATCATTATTCCTTTTCCTCTTTGAACTCAGACAATCACGACATAATTTCTCTGAAGCTGTACCAGCTGACGGTTGAACGGACACTGGAGGAAGAGAAGCGTGACAAGGAGGTCTTCCTTCCTGTGGTGGAGAACATGAAGCTCCCTGGGAGTAAGTATGATGGTCAATTTCACCCAATGCAATGAATCAGGAGATTTTGCTTTTTATGCAGTGCATCATTATACTTCAGAATTTACTACCATGAGATGTAATACTGCCTACCAGCTTGGCAGGCTTCCGAAACAGGTTGGACCCATTAATGGAAGTCATGGGGTTCACTGTCCATTAGCCTTGATGGCAGTGGGGTTGCCTGTGAAGGCCATCTGCTGGAAGACTGGTAGGCTTCCTTGTGTGGTCGGTAGGCCACTGCGAGAAAAGGTTTGACGGGGTAGGGGTCCCATCCAGCAAGGCACCGGTGATGTTCTTACGACAGCTGCAGCAGAGGAAGGAGGCTCCATGTCAAGAGTCCCAGTGTAGGCTGTTCAGGCAAGGATC